AAAAAAGGAATGGCATTGTATTGATCATCAAAAAGAATATTTCAAGATCTATCTTGAAACATAATGCTGTCTGTTATAGGATAATATCCATACACCTACAAGGAAGACCAATTAATAAGATTATTAAAATTTATGTACCAATCAGTAAAGTCTATGATGTTGAAACTGAAGAATTCTACAACTTCTTCAGTCTGAAACTGATCAAACATGCAATCAAGAAGAATGATAACTACTGGTAACTGGAATGCTGAGGAAACTCAACTTGGAAGGACCAGTAGTTTGAAAACATGGCCTTAGAGACAGAAATGATGCTGGAGATCACATGACAGAATTTTGCAAGACCAATGATGTGTTTGTTTATTGCAAATACCTTTTTAAACAGCATAAACAATGACTCTACACATGCACCTCACCAGACGGGGTACACAGAAATCAAACTGACTACATCTATGGGAATTGACGATAAAATAGCTCCACATCATCAGTCAAAACAAGGTGAAGGGCAGACTGTGGAACAAACCATCACTTGTTCATATGCAAGTTCAAACTGAAGCTGAAGAAAATTAAGACAAGCCCAGAAGAATCAAAATTTGACCTTGAATATAATTTAGAGATCATCTCAGGAACAGATTTGATGCAGTAGACACTAATGACTGAAGACCAGAAGAGTTATTGTAAGACATCAGAACATTATACAGAAAGAAAGCAAAAGGTCATTAAATAGAAGAGAAAAAGACCAAAATGGATGTCACAGAGCCTCTGAAACTTGCTCTCTAGCACATAGATGCTAAGGCAGATAGAAACCATGAGGAGGTAAAAGAGTGGAACAGAACAGGTCACAGGGCAGCTCCAGAAGACAAAGTCAAGTATTCAACTGAAAAGTGCAAAGACCTGCTGTGAGAAAACCAAAAGGAAAGAATATGCTCAGCATTTCTCAAACTGAAACAACTGAAGAAAAAAATCAAGTCTCAACTGCAATACTGAAGGATTCTAGGGCAAAATAATGAACAATGCAAAACCAATGAAAAGAAGATGAAAGGAATATACATAATCAATGTACCAAAAAGACACGCTCGATGTTCAACCATTTCAAAAGGTAGTATATGAACAAGAGCTGATGATACTGAAGGAGGAAGGGCAAGGTGCACTGACAGCATTGGCAAAGAACAAGCTCAGGGAATTGATGGACTACAAATTGACATCTTTTAACAAATTGCTGCAGCACTGGAGGCCCCTACTCCTCTAAGTCAAGAAATCTGGAAGACAGTTACTTGGCCAACTGACTAGAAGAGATGCCATCATCCTACAATATTATTAAAACCAACTGCAAGTAAAATTTTGCTAAAGAGAATATAAAAACAACTGCAACAGTACACTGGCAGGGAAATAGCAGAGGTTCAAGCCGGATTCTGACAAAAATGGGATATAAGGGATATCATTTCTGACGTCAGATGCATCTTGGCTGAAAATAGGGACTCCCCAAAAACTGTTTACCTGTGCTTTACTGACTACGCAAAGACATTTGACTGTGTGGATCATGACAAACTGAATAACCTTGCAAAATCTATGTATTCCAGATCACTTGCTTGTGTTCATAAGGAACCTGTACATAGACCAAGAGGCATTTTTTTCAAACAGAACAAGAGACAAGAGTACACTGAATGGTTTAAAATCAGAAAAGGTGTGCATCAGGATTGTATTCTTTCACATTTATTCAATCCATATGCTGAGCAAATCACCTGAGAAACTGGATTAGATGAAGAAGGACTGGGCATCAGGATTGGAGGAAGACTCATTAACAACCTTTGATATGCAAATGATATAAAGCAAAGAGGACTTAAAACACTTACTAATGAAGATTAAAAACAACAGCTTTCAGTATTGGCTGCACCTCAATGTAAGGAAAACAAAAATCTTCATCACTGGAGAAAAGACTGAGGTTGTCAAAGACTTCACTTTGCGTGGATCCACTATTCTAACGCTCATGGAAGCAACAGTCAAGAAATTAAAGGACATACTGCATTAGGCAAATCTCTGCACAAGACCTGTTTAAAGTGTTCAAGAGCAAAGATGTCAGTGTGAGGACTAAGGTGCACTTGACCCAAGCCACAGTATTTTCAATCGCCTATCTATACATGTGAATGTTAGACAATGAATACAGCAGACCTTAGAAGAATCTATGCATCTGAGTCATGGTGTTGGAAAAGAACATGAAAAGTGCCACTGACTGCCGAAGAACATTAGAAGCCAGGGCGGTGAGACTTCGGACATAGAAACCACAGGGACAAGTCCTGGAGAAGAAACCGAGCTTGTCAAATAGAGGGTCAGCAAAACGGGAAGATACCCAAGAAGATGGACTGGCACAGTGGCAGCAGCAATGGGCTCCCGCATAACAACTGTGAGGTTGGCACAGGACCAGGCAGTGTGTCCTTTTATTGTGTACAGACTGCACAGAACTGACTAGACAGCACCTAATAACAGCAGCAACAAAACCTTAGAAACAATGAAAGGTCTCAAGTCAGCAGTCTAAATTCCTGAGGAAAGAAACTAGAAAAAGCGCAAAGCACGTAGGAAAGTAAAACTAAAGATCAGAAATCAATAATAGTAAAAAAGGAAGAACCAATGAAACTCAAAACTCACTCTTCTAAAACAAAAGTATTAAACATGACAAAGAAGAAAACAAGAGGAACTGAAATAGGGGCTCTCACTAGAGCCTAAAATCGTTAAATACTAACAATACAGGAGACTTTGAATGCCTACTCCTCAAAAACTGCAAAGTGCAAAAACTCAACCCTGATGGAATCATCCGAATAGTGCTACATAACTATAAACGAAATTGAGTTTATTATTGACAAACTCCCCCAAAGGAAAAGCTTCTTGTTGTTGGGTGGGCCAGGATCCTAGTTCAGCTCTGTCCCACTGTAACACATACTTTTCTGGCTATGTGTGAGAATCTCAAAGAACCAAAGTAAACAATTAAAACTCAAATTCAGAAGCCATGGGACAGCGGGTGAAATTGGTCTTTTCTTCGGTGCATGAGAGGCACTGTGCTTGGCATTACCAAGGGCACGGCTGGTGCGCACGGGGCTTAAGCCATCGTTGCTAGGGGCAGTGGAGGCTGGAGTGGGTTCCAACTCACAGGACCCTCGATCGGCTTTCCCTGAGACAGCAGACCTGTGGTCACAGTCCAATGCTTATCCTGTAGAGCCATACCTACCATCTCTATGACCATTCACAGGAGGATTAAGATCCAAAATTGTTGGCTAACCATGAGGTCAGAGCCTCAATCTTTTTTCTCTCTCTCAAGAATCCAAATAACTTGACAATCTTTGCTGAAAATGATTCAACTCACCAACGTTAAAAGTAAACGTAAATTTTAACCCAAACCCACAACTCTCCTACCAGACTTGCGAAAGAGGATATAAGTAAAGATCCCTCTGGGCTGACCATGAACTTCCTTAACTCCAGGATGCAATTAGGTCTCCCGTTCAAAACCCCATTTTCTAATTATTGTGTCATTTCTACACTGCAGCACTCTTGGGTAGAGAAACGAATTCGTTAAATCCAACTGAGAGATTCGAGGAGACTTCCACCTTAAATCAGCCTGTACACCCTGATTTCCACTTTAACAGTGACCCCATGAAGACTTCCATCCTTTCTTGAGGGCATCTCTGGTTCCCATTAGTAAAGGACAAAAACTCTCGTCAACAAGTATCCTGTACACATACGTCAAGTAAAACGTGAATTTCGGAAACGAGCTCGTTTCCCGACACTCAACACCTGGGACAACGAAGCTTCCGGAGACAGCGGCCTGGGGGGGGGACTCCGGAGGAACCCCACCCCCGGATGTGCTGGGCACCCCCGGGAACCGAGGCAGCTCGTCTCCACGCCTGCGCCTTCCCCCACACTAGGGACCCAGCACTTCCCGAGTCTGGACCAGGGAGGCCGCAGACGGGCCCGAGCCGGCGCCGAGAGGCCCCCGGGGCCCCGTCGTTACCTGCTATGCCGGTCGGCCCCCGGCCCGGGCCCCGCCGCACTGTAGTAAGCCGCGCGTTTGCGGTTGGCAGCGGCCGCAGCAGCGGCGCTGCGCACCGGGTACAGAGGGATCTGGTCCGCCATATCCGGCCGCCACCTCCCCGCCCCGCCCCGATTCCCTCGGATCGCCGCCTCGCTGGTTCCCCGCCTCAGCCGGGCCGAGGCTCCGCCCGCGCGCTCTGCCCGCCCCGCCGCGCGTCGGCGGCCCGATGACGTCACGAACGGCGAAGACGCCAGCGTGGAGCCGTGCGTCGTCGGCCTTATGACGTCACTATGCGGCCAGCGCGCGGAGCGTAGAACCGCGGCGTTCCGAGGCCCCGCCCCGTAGACCTGGTGTCGTCACTTTGGGGCTACGCTGCTGAGCTGGAGACTGGCGTTCGGACGTTCCGCTTCGCCTCACGCCGGAGAGTCTGTGACGTCACGGACTGGTGAGCGCCTTGCGTTCCGGGTCACGGGCGCGCCGCCGTATCTGCGAAGCTCGTGGTCCGTGAGCACAGAGCGCGCGCTCGGACCTCATCTCCGTTCACCATGCAGCCGCGTTTCCTGAGAGGGCGCACGTCCCGCACACACTGCTTGCTGTGTTGAGATGCGCGAGGCTGGCCCCACATCAGACAGGACCTTACTCAGTACAAAACCCCAAAGACTGCTGACCAGAAGATCTTAAAGAGGAAGTGAAGGTTTCCAAACCACTCACAGAACATGGTCCAGATTTCAGGAGGGCATGAAAGTTCACAAACCCCCAAAGTACACTCAATGGGACACAAACCCTGGAAGATCTCCTGAAGAAGTAACCATTCATAAATCCTCCCTGGCACTTCGGACCCTGAAGGCCTCCGAGAGAAAGTAAGGATTCACAAACCTCCAGAAGCACTTTCAATGGCATACAGAGCCCAAAGAGCTCACAAAGCCCAATAGGTGCCCTCACTGGGACTTGGACCCTGGAGATCTCTGAACTGGAGGGACGATTTGCAAACCGGGATGCGGGAAGTGAGGATTCATTAGCCACCTACGGTTCTGCAGATCCTGAAAATCCCTGGGAGGAAGTGAAGGTTCACAAGCCCCCAAAGGTATCCTCTAGGAGACATGGGTACTAAAGATCTCAGGAAGTAATAATTCACAAAGCCACTCAGAACATGGAGCCAAAAGACTTAAGAGAGAAGGTGAAGATTGCCAGTCCTCCATCTATGAAACAGAACCTGAAGATCTCACAAGTTGAAAATTCATAAATCCATGACTGTACCTTGGACCCCAAAGATCTCAGAGAGAAATTGCTGATTCACAAAACTCCAGAGATAACATCTAGGAGACACAGATCTGGTATATGTTCAGGAACTGAAGGTTCACAAACCAGCCACAATACTACCAGGTCTCAGAGAGGAAATGATGGTTCACAAACCCCGTATGGTACCACAGATTACAAGGTTGCAGAACAGTTAAAATTGTCAAAAGGAACTGAATGACAACAAAATTGGAATGTTGGACGAAATTTATTTGGGCAAAAGATTCACAAATCTGACAGCAGAAAAGCAAAAGTAGAAATGTACTTCACCAAATATTAACACTGATGGCCTTGACAAAACACGGAGGCAAAGAAGCCTGTTGTCAAGTGGCTTATATAATTCATTATAGATACCCACTGTCAGCGTCTCATTGGTCAATAGGTGTTCTGGTTTCCAGGAAAGCTAGGCAGTTAAAAAAGTCTTATTAGACTAGTCAACAGGAAATGACTTCAACTCTTTCTCATAGGGTCTCTGTGACTCAGAATTGGCTTGATAGCAGTGCGCTTGAGTTCTATTTGGGCAGAAGAGTCACGAATGGGATAGAACCAAATGGAAAGTTGAAAGGTACTCCCCTAACTAAGCAGTAATTGACATTTTTCTCGCAAAACTCAGAAGTAAAGGAGCTCATTTGTGATTGTGTTGAGACAATTCAGTAATTGACTGATAAATGGATGTCAGATTCTCAATGGTCAGCAAGGGTGGCCTGATTCAGAAGAAAGCTAGGGGCATTCTTTGGTCCATCATAGTAGTTTTGTCAACCAACCCACTCCATTATCATTTCCGTTATCATGAGCTACAAATCCCCTGCAATGAGTGGAGTGTCCACAATAGTTCCATCAGCCTCTTGCCCTCACAGCTTACTAGGAATTGGGAGAAGAGTGATTTCTGTGCTCAGACTTGGATCTCTTCCTGATTTTTGAAAACTATGCTGTGGCCCCTGTGGGCCCAAGCGTTGTTGACCGTCCAAACCATAGGCTCTGAGGATCAGACTCTAGCCACCTAGTAGATATAGCAAACTGTCCCTCATCTGATTATTCAGTAATGCTTGTTAGTAATCTCATACATGAGCCCTGGATATCCACAGACAAATGTAAAAACCTTCCCTAAAAGCCGAGACTGTAAATTCCAAAAAGCCAAGTCCCCCCCGATCCAAAAAAAAAAAAAAAAAGCTAAAGAGGATAGAGAGAAACACTGTAAACTGATGATATATGGTGGGGATAATAATCAATGTAATGAAACAAGCTATATGAATGGTTGAATGTGAAGCTGATGATGTGCCCTGTAAACTTTCACTCAATGCAAAATAAAAACATTTAATTAAAAAAAAAAAGAATGAGCAACAGTAAAGTCTATTAATATTAACTTAATTTGTGATAATTGAGGTAGCAATAATAAATTATCTCTGGAATACTTTAAAAAAAAAACAACAACTATGCTGTGACTTTTAAGTCTTGGGTCTCCATCAGCCTTGCTTCTTAATGACTTCCACATCTACAAACTGAATTTCCTCAAATTGCACTCCAAAGTGGTCCTTTTTGGTTCTCCTCCACCTCCCAAATGACATCTTGTCACTCAAAGGAAACATCCATTCTGGGTTTAAACCCTTCCTCCTTAGTTTGGGTCTGTAATACCAGCCATATTACCATTAATTGGGAATCTATTAGAAATGGCAGAACACTATCCCACTCCCCAGATATGCCTCATCATAAACTGTATTTTAACAAGCTCCTTGGGTGGTATGTACACCACTGGATGTTTGAGAAGCATTGACTTAAAACTGCTTGTTTATTAACTTTCAAATATAGTCTCTAGCAAAAGCCTCATTCTTCCACGCTCCTGTATCTAGCTGCTTATGAGACCTTTCCCTGGTATCTCAAATTCAATACATCAAAACTACAATATCTTCTACCATTAAACCTGCTTTCCTCTTTATTTTTTCATGCCATCTTGACTTTCCCATTAAGCCACCTAACTGGTCCCAATTCCCTAACCATTTATTTCCCTTAACCCTTTTCTTCCACAAGCACACCAGAGATCCTACACTACATTGTACCATGAGCTTAAACCAGACTCTTCCCAAGAGGTCAGAGACAAAGCTAGTAAACAAACTATACAAGAACCTAGGGACGTCTGGAACACGGTGCCAAGCGGGGAGTACCATAGCGACTGAGCACAGCTATCAAAAAATCTGCTATGCATGAAGTTCATGCAGAGGGGACGAGACTCAGAAACCAAGAAACAGCTGGAAGGAGAAGAAAATCATCAGTGAAGAGCACTGGTAACTCAGATTTGCCAGAGCTGAAAGAGAAGGAGAGCATCACAATCAGAGAGTAGGGCTTCTCTTTATGCAAAGACCTCTATGGAAGAATGCCGTAATGCTTCAGATGAACTCTTAAGAACAAAGTTGAAGATGAAACAGTGAAACGTGATGTGTCCAATGAAGAAATGGATACGAAGTATGAAAGCCTGGTGGGAACAATTGGAAAAAAGTTTGCCAAGAATAGAGATCGTGCCAATTATGAAGAAGATGAAAAAGACCAAGACAAAAAAGGTGTTCTTAAAACCTGAGATTAAAAAGACGGCCTTGTGAATGATAGCAGCGCATATTACAACTTAACTCCAATTGTTTCTTTGTGACTTTTGATACAATAATGTGTATTAGTAAATGTGCAATTTTGGAAAATGGTGCCCCTATAACAGATGCATGATGGATATTACACATCTTTTGCTTAATAGTGTTCATCAAGAAGGGCATTTCTGCCCTTGATCTTCAATTGTACATGGTGATTTCCTACAGAACTTTTGACCTTGGATTTTTCAAATATATTCTGTGGCCCCTGCCCTTCAATAAATTAATATCATTGTTTTAAAAAAAAAAAACCTATACAATCTAACCCCTGCCTCCTCCCTTTCAATTTGTTTTTCCAGACTAAAATAGACTAGGAAGAAAGACTTACTGGTCTTTCTCTAAAATAACATCAGAATGCTGCCTTATACAGTGTTAGAATATGAGCTTTCAGATTAGAAGCTTATTCTGTCTCAAAATATGACAGAAGAGCTGCCTCCTCAAAGTCAACTTTAATGACATGGATGGAACAAACCTTTTGATACCTTAAGTTACTGATGTGGCATGACTCAACATAAGAAGCAGCAACTACAAACATTCACTGATAATCGGACTGTGGAATGTATGAAGCATAAATTTAGGAAAATTAGAAATTGTAAAATATGAAATGGAACACATGAAGATCAATACTGTAGGCATTAATTAGCTGAAATAAACTTGCTGACCAATTTGGGTTAAAGCATCGCAAGGTCAGTTTGAACCTCAAGGTCGGCATGTCCTTGGAAACTGTACACAGGGTCACTATGAGTTGCAATTGACTTGACGGCACTTAAGAATTCCAGAAATGACAAATTGAAGAGGAACGGCATCACATTCATCAAAAAAAAACATTTCAAGAGCTATCAAAGTACACTACTGTCAGTGATAGAATAATATCCATATATTATTCCTATAAGGAAGACCAGTTAATACGAGCATTATAAAAATGTCCACACCAATCAATAATAGTAAAGATAAAGAAAATGAAGATTTCAAACAATATCTGAAGCCTGAAATTGATCAAATATGGAATCAGGATGTATTGATAACTACTGGTGAATGGAATGGAAAAGTTGGAGAGTGGGGAAATGATCAATAGTTGGAAAATATGACTTTGGTGATAGAAATGATACCAGAATTTTGCAAGACCAGTAATTTATTCATTGCATATACCTTTTTCCAACCTAAAAGGCCAGTGT